CACACTTAAGAGGATTTAGGACTGCACACCACACCACACACAGGGAAGGACCTGGGTGCACACCCCATAGCACCTGATCTAAGTGCTGGTCTTTTCAGTTACTTTCTATGGATCTGAAAGCTGATCGATGAATAAGGGTAATAGAAAAATCAATGTCTTTGAACTATGCTGTTAGAGGACAGTCATAAATATTCCATGGACTGCCTAAAAAACAAACTGGTCTGTCTTGGAGGAAGTTCAAGGACGGGGACCGCACCCCACCCCACACATCACCAAGGATGGAGGACTCCCCTCCACTTCACACCCTGGCTCCTGGGACTCGGCTCACTCACTGCTGTGGAGTCAGTCCCAATGCATGCGGCTGCCTTTTCTGTTTTCAAATAGAACTGCTCCACTGAGGTTTCAGTAGTTGGGGATTTTGAGGTCGTTTTAAGAAACAAATCACCATGCCTATAAATAGAGTGTAGGAGGTATGAGGGTCACTGAGCCTGGCCTCCATGACTCCACAGGGGAGACTTCCCATCCACAACCCCAAACCAATTCCCAGCAGGTCGGACTTGCTCACGTGCTGCCTGCACCTACTACTAACCAGCTCTAACACCAACGGGCCTCTCCAGGAACCTGCAGGTCCGAGAATTGCTGCAGTGGCCACACAGAACTCTCAGATCATACTCACCATTACGGTGTTTATTAGCAGAGTTAGCAGGTTGGAAACAGGGTGCAGTTCTTGTCAGAACAGCTTCAGGTTGGAAACAGGATGCAGTTCTTGTCAAGGCAGCTGCTCAGGCCTGTGGGTAGGCCGTTTGATTAAGGCTCCAAGCCGGTGATACAAAGCTCTTTTAGTCTTTGGTGTCTCCTTCCTAGTCCTCCAGTAAGCGTGGATGAAGGCCCTCAGCTATGGCTCCGCGGGGCGGGTGTCCCAGCGCAGCCCCATCTCATGTCAGTCGCTGCTGTCCTCCCAGTCCCGAGCTGACTGGCACGGGAGTCTCTGGTGCCAGTGGACACACACTGGGCTGATTCTTGTTTTATGTTGGCAGTGAGAGCCCCCTTTTCCGCTGCTGAACCTGCCTGATTTTAGCCTGGTGGGATGTCAACACTGACCAGTTTCTCATTGGTACTCTACCCACTTTGTTTGTATGTCCCCACCCAGAAGGCACTATTTACGTCACTCACACTCCAATCCAACCACGTAGCTAAGGTCAGACCAGCAGGCTAGGAAAGCAATTTTGAACAACCAGTCCACTGAACCACCAGTGCTTTCTTCTGGTGCCTCTGTGTGAACTAGAACCCCCAACCTCTCAACTTGCAGTCAAGCTCATTAAACTTCTATACCTCCCTGGGATACCTGGGATGCTGGAGTCTGCATAAATGTGGCCCTAAGAGTAGGACAAAGCTGTGGTGGCCTCTTGCTGTCCCCTAGATGTGTCCATGCAGACTTTGGAGCCAGTAAAAGACCTGGCATCTCCAAAGAGTGAAGCTGGGCCAGGCCAAGTGGTCTCTGAACTGGCACATGAGGATACGCTGTATTTGGTGACATCCATGCCACATGAGAGACAGGATCGAGTTCGGAGGTTGTTCCTCAAAGCAGATGGAGGGGGGAGTACTGAGCTTGGAAAGGGCACTTCCAGGAAGGGGTGCACTTGGACTATAGAACCCCTTCATTTACCTGAGAGTACTGAGGTCATGGTGACCTATTGCCACCATGTTCATGACAGGGGACAGCCAACTCCATGACACTGGGTCTATGGACTGCCTGCTTCCCTGTAATCTGAGAAACATTACTTCTCCCTGTCTCTGACCTCCCACTTGATAGACTAAGGTGCGCCTGAGCCAAGCCATGGCATTGTCAATTGTTTCATATGCATGTAAAAACAATGAAGAAGAATGAGGCAGACATGGTATCTTTGGATTGTGGAGTTGGCAAGGAGAATTCTATCCCACAGACGCTAAAAAAACAAACATATTTGTCTCAGAAGAAATGCAGCCAGAGTGCTCCTTAGAAGTGAGGTCAGGGGGACTTCATTACTAGAATAAACAAGTCTGTCTTGGAAAAACCAGATGCTCCTTGGAGGGAAGCATGGTCAAACTCCACCTCACCTCCTTTGGACTTGTTGCCAGGGGGGGCCAGCCCTTGGAGAAGGACATCGTGCTTGGAAGGGTGGAGGGACAGAGCAGGAGAGGAAGACCCTGGAGGAGATGGATTGACTCAGTGACTGTGACAGTTGGGTCTGGTGTGTTGGAGATGGTGAGGTTGGTTCAGGATAGGACAGGTTTCAGAGCTGTTGTTCACAGCATCACTATGAGTTACTGTCAACTTGACAGCACATCACAACACAACAAACAGTCTTAGGAAGAAGACATCATGCTTGGAAAGGTGGAGAGTCAGTAGAGGAGAAAGCCCCTCAGAGAGGGGTTGAGACTGCGATTGCTACAGTGGGCATACACACAGCAGAGGCTGGCAAGATGGTGCAGAACTGGGCAGGCAGGAGTCCAGTCTCTTGGATCTGAGCTCACTGTGAGTTGGAGTTGACTTGATGGCACGTAATAACAGCCTTCTCCCAAGTGTCACATCTGTGTGCTTTTTAAAAAATTTTTTATATTTTGTGTGTTTGTTTGGACTGTCAAATCTGATCTGACTGGTACAGGAGATTGTCCCTCCTTCTCCAGCAGAGCATCTGGTCGATTTGAACCACGTACCTCTGGGATTGCAGTGCAACTTCTTGCCACTAGGCCACCAGAGCTCCCTGTGTGCTTTTTTCCCCCCAAGATACAACAAGCTCTGTTATCAAGCAAGCTTCTTACTCCTTCTGAGGAGCCAAGGGTGCCAAGCGCTCATTCATTCTCGTTCATCCAGGGCTTCCTAGTGTCAACCCCCAGCCCCTCAGTCCTAGCCTTCCTCCTATGTTAGTGATAAAAGGAGACATTTCCCACCTCCCTTGCCCCAGAAGCCCTCTATCTGCTGGCAAACCCTGTTGGCCACTTCGGCCACTAGTGGTCTGCTCCTGGCCTGCCACACCACGGTGACCTGCAGCATTCTGACAGGGACCCCAACCAATACACATATTCTAACTACTTTGGGGTGGGGAGGGGGGAATTGAACAGATTTTGTATTATGCATTGAGTGTGAATTTTACAAAGCAAATGGATTTTCTACACCCATGAGGACACATACACATGCAGATGAATTGTCTATATTCATATTAATCTATGTGTAAGTGTAGCCATGTGTATAGCAGAGGCAACAGGCAGTAAAGTTATGTCACCTTTTTAATCATAACTACACATCCATGGAAGATAAGTCGCTGGTCCTAGGGTCTCAAGACCATTGTCTTTGGGGACATTAAGGTGACCTGGTCCAAGAGAGTGCACACAAACAGTCCACAATATCCTCCTTTGGTGAACAGTGACTCAAGTCATAAATGCTTATAAGCAGTCTTTTTAAATGGCAACAACGCTTGGTTTCTCACTCTGGGTCATAAACACAGGAAAACCCAAAACATAGAAATAATCAGTTCAAGGACAAATGGGCCACAAGGACTTCAACATCCATTGCCCTGGGGCTAGAGGAGCTGGGTAGCTTCCCACCATCAATGTGGATCGTTCTGAGGACTGAACAGTGGGAGAAAAATGTGGCACAACAGATACTAGGAATTGTAAATGCTGCCAGGTTTGTGGGTCTAATAGACTGGGGCCCATGAGCCTGTAGTCTGTCTTCAAGCCTGGGACTGAGCTTTGAGCCTGTGGCTCAACTTTCAGACAAACAGTTGTTGTTGTTGCTGTTGTTGTTGTTGTTGTTGTTAGGCACCATTGAGTTCAGTATAACTTGTAACGACTCAACGAACAGACCTGAACCCTGTCCTATCCTGTGCCATCTTCATCATTTCTGACACACTCAAGC